ATGTAACTGGTAGCAGGATTGCATATGCAATCTGTTTTCTCACCCAAATGGAGTGATCACAGAATAATTTTCTCACCATTTTGGGATGGTTTCAGGTTTCTGATTTTGGAATCAGTTCGACAAGGGCTCATGTCTGGCTCCTTCACTGAGAGGCTGTGGCCTGGGGCACACTTCTCACTTCTCCTATTCTCAGTTTCTTCCTCTGTGAATTGTGGATGCTGACAGCACTTACCTTGAAGTGCTGAGGTGAGGCGTGGAGGCACATCACAAGTGAATGTTCAGACTGTGCTTGGGTACATATGATTGCTGGGTGACTCCCGGTGACATCGCCTGACCAAACAGTTCTTAAATAGCCATAATTCATCTTTCACAAAGGGAAATAATAACTGGGACAACATTTTCTCATGGCATTAAAATTAATGGAAAATGCTGTAGTTTCACACTAACAGAAAACTAAACTCACACATCAAACTGGTCATGTCAATAGGATATATTCACTATTAGATGCTATCAATATAATAATGACATTATATGCTTTTCAAATCAATCCTGTGATTACACTAATAATTAGAAAAGTTTCCCAAGTAGTTAGGTATTTGGTAGGAAGCATATGTTGCTAAGAAAAGAGATATTAAATTTGAGATGAGAATTTGGAAAATGCTGTATGTCAGAAGGCTGAAATCATGTTGTTACAAAATGAAAAGTACCCTAAACAGAGCCACAGGAACGCCACCTCTTATTGGTCTTGTACTGAGTTTTCCTGGAATAGTCACAGGCCCCTCAAGAGAAGTACATGGCTACTGCCTTTGTTTCCAAATGCTTCCAGAACTCTGTGCATGGAGGTAGGATACCCTACCTGTGACGCCCAGAATCCACCAGGGGACAAGGGCCAGATGTGGAGGCCACGCTGACAGGCTTAGATTTCTTGCAATGGCAAATGAGGTCACTGGAGATTTTCATCATGGAGGATGGAGGGAGGAAAGAGACACACCATGATGCTGATTTTAAAACGACTATAATGCCTTCATCAAAATTTATAGTTTGTTCCAACAACCTGTGGAAATGCAAAGGACCTAGGATATTTGAACTAATTCTGACACAGGATGAAGTTGGAAGACTCTCATTACATGATTTCAAAACCTAATACAAAGATACTCAAAAGATTAAGGTGTTGATTTGGATAGACAAAGAGATCAAGGGCACAGAAGTGGAGAGTCCTTGAAAGTAACTCAGATATTTATGATTAGTTGATGGGGTAACTAATGTTTCTATGGGGTAAGAAATGTCTTTGTAATAAATGGTATTGGAACAACTAGATAAGCATATAGAAAAAAAGTCACCCTTTATCCCTTCCTCACACTATACACAATAGTACTTGGGGTGTATTATCTGCCTAAGCACAAATTCCAAAATTACAATATTTGTAGAAGAACAAAGGAAAATGTCATTGTGACTTTAGGACAGGCCAGGTCCATTATAGAAGACTCCTTCTGTGAAAAACATCAAATATGCATAAACCAAAAAGTGACAAATTGACTTTCATTAACAATTAAAAGCTGACATCCATCAAAAGAAATCATTAAAGAAATAAAAAGGCAATTGCAATGTAGGAAAAATATCAGCAGTTTATTTATTTAGCAAAGCTTATATCTAGATGAAATTTTATAATAACAACAAGAACAACAACAATAATGAAAGATCCTAGTGCCTGATATTTGGGGCAGGGTGGGGACAGAATCCAGCTGGGAGGCTGTTACAATAGTCCAGGCACAAGATGGCCATGGGGAGAGGAGGGGGGAATCTTGTGGAGGGTTAGAAATGATGAGCTCAGAAAGCAAGAGCCTCACCTGGATCCTGAAACCCACTAATCTGTGCATTTTACTCTGACTGTTTCCTCTTTATAAAATCATTTGAGGATCATTCTCACAAAGGACATAGATTCAGTAAGACTGAATCTATAACTAAAAATTGGAACAGAAATCAGGAGAAGCAAGTACGCCAGTTTGGAGACTCATATTAGAAAATGAAGATGAGAAAACTCTGCTCAGGACTCTTGGCTGGGCACTTAACACAGGCTGCCCACCCAGTGCAAAGGGATCCATGGGGACTTCTGACATCAGAGGAAGGCAGCTCAGATCACCACACCCAACCAGTTCCGAATCACATTGGTTTTCACTGAGGAAGTATATATGCCTTTTAGGAACTCTGGGGGTTTAGAAAACCAAAATTTTTGCAGATTTTGTAACAGAATACTAAATCACAGAATTCTGCTACATTGAGTGCTCTGAAGAGCAGTACTTAAGGAAAAACTTGATCTTCCTTCTGTTCGAGACTGAATTTATTAAGCAAAAGTGTAAATAGCATGGGCTATAATTTAGGATGAAATATAAGCTTGAGTAGTCTACCCATATATTTATAGAATTATTATCATTTAAAATTGCTACCAATTTACATGATGACATGGAGATTGGGTTTGGACTGAATGTAGCAAGGGTAAATGAAGGCAGCATTGATACAACAGAAATGCTGCAAGAATGGATGCAGACAAACACGGGTTGATTATTGATTGGTTATGACAAGTATAAGTAATTCAGTTAGTGGCGCCAGTTCAATGAGAGAGAAACTTGTCAATATTGAACATTCTTTAATTACGAACAACTAGCCAATCAGAAATGAAAGAAGAAAAGAGAGAAATTATGTATGGAGAAGATTTAAAAAATCTATACCAGTCAGGCAGTCTGTCAAATGAAGCTTAGTCTCAGGTTTGGAACTCTGGTTTGACTTCTTGAAAATGGATCAGTCCTCATACACGCTTAGGTCAACATCACAGAATTAACAGTCAACTCCTACTGGCATTTCATTTCCCATCAGGTCCAATAGCAAAGGTGGCCATCTCCTGTGGAGTCTGGGGAAGGGAAGTAATCAGCATAAACAATTTATGATGCTCAAAGATGGCCAAGTTTGGGCTGATTCTTCAGCAAATGTGTTTGCAATTTATTTTATACTGGTGAGTAAAAATGACCACAGTTTTGAATACCACTGATGACAAAATTATACTTCGACAATTGCCAGTATACATTAGGAGAATGAAATATGAAGAAAACTGTGAACTGTTGGCGATTCTGAGAGACTTAGACAGTCCTGATGGTTTAGGTTTGAGCAGAGTAGGTGGCTTAAGGCAAAGGAAAGTCCGCTGCAGAGGACGACTCTCAGGAAGTTATCTAGGACACCCAGCAGGTTGACCTTAGGTGCTCTCTGGGGACAGGGTTGGTGGTGCAAAATTGGAGTTGATTTGTGAGGAGGCCCAGCCACCTGGAGTACTTAATGATGAGGACAGTGAGGGGTGGGGAGGCATCTGGATGGGGAACCTGGTCAGTCTGGTTTCTGATCCTGGCTCTGTCACCTGCCAGGTGCCGCTGGTTAGACAAGTCACTTGCATCCTTGAGCCTGGGCTTTTCCATCTCCTACCTGGGGTTAGGACTGCCATAAGGATCTGTGCAACAAAGGATACTTGGGCCCTCTGAGAAATCTGCAGATATCTGCAGTGGTTATTTTGTATTATTTACTAGTAACTGAATCTCCAGTGTGAGCCCAAGCTGGAATCGTGCAGTGGTATATGCTGCAGCCTGGAGTTATTTTAGGAAATAATCAATACAAGATGCATTGGGTCAGAGCCATGATAAGAGTCATAAATCTTGACAGTTGCTGTTTGATAAAATTAATAACGCTTGAGAGAAACATAAAAACCAACGGGAGGGGAAATATAGAGTGCATTTGGGGAGAGAGCTTATGCCAGTGTGGAGACAAAGCCATCCAGGGAGGCTGGCTGTTATCCTGATAGTAGAGAGTCACTGTGCACACAGGCACGTGTGCACACCCAGGAACAGACACACACATTCACAGTTGTCTCCACACGCACACACATACATAGGTGTACATGTTTACAACCCATGCACAGGTAGGCATGCACGCTTATGTAAATGTGGATGCACAACATAAGTGTATGCACACATGTGCATGACTGTAGTAGATGCACATACACGCAGGTATGGTGTTGTGGCTGGTTCTCAGAGGGACTGGTCAGTGAGGACAAATGGCATTCATTCCAACAATGGGCAGTTAGAGTTTGTCCATTCATGGCGTCTCCCCCTTCTCAGGAAATGCTGGTTGCCTCTGAATTGTTAAAATGTACCAGCAATGGGGGCTTGGCCCCTCTCATTTCCTGCTGGTAGAGGAGCAAGCTCACCCACTGTGCAAGAGAAGAGGGCAGTGAAGCGAGACCAGGACCTCATGGTTTTAATGCCTCAAAGCCCAGAAATGGCCTCTGGTTAGGAAAGCAAAGAATATTGCTTTACCTTAGTCCAGAATGTTCCCCAGCCTTTTCAGTCCTCTGTTTCCATATGGACATAGTCACCTGGGTGTGCATCCTGGGGTGCCTGCTCTGCTGAGGGAACTCTGGTAGGCCGGGCCAGGGCCGAGCCTGGCTAAGGCCAAGCAAAGCCCAAGCAAAGCCCAAGCAAGGGGTGTCTGTCACCAGTGCAGGCGCGGTGGACTTGCTTCTATGTAAGAAAAGAGTCTGTGAGCCCTACATACATATTCTCAGAAACTAATGGCCACATGGAAACAAGAGGAAAATGTTTGCTGCAGTGGAGTGTGGGGTTGCTTCTTAAACAATGACTTTTATTGTGTTTTATTGCAAAAGTAACATGCAGGCCAGGCGCGGTGGCACAGGCCACTAGTCCCAGAGCCTTGGGAGGTGGAGGCAGGAAGAGCCTGAGTTCAAAGCCAGCCTCAGCAACAGCAAGGTGCTAAGTGACTCAGTGAGACTCTGCCTCTAAACAAAACACAGAATTGGGCTGGGGATGTGGCTCAGTGATGGAGGGCCCCCGAGTTCAATCCCCAGAACGTGTCCCCCCCACGTAACATGCACATATTATAACAATGGGATTTCAAGGTCAAACCACAAGGAAACATTGACATTGGTTCTATCATGTTTGCAGGCAGAGAAGACGAAGAATTTTGTCAATCGGGGCCTCGTCATTGGGGAGGTGCTCTCCATGGCCGACCTGGCCACCAGTGTGAAGGTGAGTTCTCAGGCCCGGCAGCCTGCCTTCCCCTTTAGCCAGCGCGCCAGATCTGGTTTCCTCTGCTTTTCTTTTCCTACCGCTTTCTTTTCCTATCGCTTTATCATGGTTGTAGCAATGAGTTATTTTCATGGATCTTAATTTTATAAAAACAGTCTCATCACCTTATGTGATTTTTCTCTCTTCACTTAGGTATCATTGCTAAGGTCCATCCCAATGTTGCGACTCACTGTTCTTCTTAAGTAAAAAAAAAAAATTAATATTTTATTTTGAAAATTAAAACTGTATTTTGAAATGATAATGTTTAAAGAAAGTTACAAAAATAGTAGATCATGTGAAGCCTGTCTCCCCCAGTGGTGACATCTGTGTAGCCATAATACAAACATAAAACTGGTAAATTGACATTGGTACAATTCTGTTTAATGAGGATACAGACCTTAGTTTTCACATGCACATTTGTGTGTGTGTGTGTGTGTGTGTGTGTGTAGTTCTATGCAACTTGACACCATAAATAGATTCAGTAACCACTCTTCAATCAATCTATAGAACTGTCTCATCATTACAAAGAATCTTGGGGGTGCTACCCCTTCGTAGCTGTATCTATCCCCTACCTCACCGCTGACCTTTAGCCACAACAAATCTGTTCTCCATCTTTTAGTTAAATTACTGGGGGAATGACATAGAGAGGGCAGTTTGTTCATTTTCACTGATACATAATATTCCTTTGCATGAATATATCATAGCACTTATCCATTCACTTTCTCATGTTGCTTGCAGGATTTTGCTAATGTGAAAAATGCCACTGTGAATACTCTTGTGCATGTCTGGCGTTGAACATTGGCACAGGCTTCCTTTAGCTATTTAACTAGGCATGGACTTGCTAGTTAGAGGAATGCCTGACACTAGAGGCCATGTCAGTATTATTGCATCAACTCAGCCCTGTCAAAAGCATACACTCCAATCCCAGGGTCCACATCCTCTCCACACCTGGAATCCTTAGGCTTCTCCTTTTTTTGCCAATCCCATGGCCATAAAATGACATCTCACTGCTTTGTGAGGAGCTCACCAAGGGTGGTGAATGGACTAGCTCAGGTAGAGGGACCTCCACAGCCCTACGTGGCTCCCTGAATCCCAACAGAGGCTTAATCCCAGGCTTAATCCCATGGCCCCGCCTTTCCCCTCTGGCCACTGTTGGGTCTGAAAACAAATTCCCTTGTCCAGACACCTGGTCCTTTTGTCTCCAGGGGAAAGATTTGTCTCCTGGACAAAGAACCTGAAGATAGATGATGGGGCAGGAAGCCAGGTTGCTTTGTGGTGAGTCCAAGATGGCAGCTATTTCAGTTCCACATGAGCATTTTCTAGGGCTGAGAATGGAAAACAAAGAAATCTGTGCATGCCGACCTGTGGGGAGGGGTCCACCATCAGCCCCTTTTGGGGAAAGGCTGGCCTCCCAGTGATTCTTCCCTCCTGAATGGATCAGCTGTGGCTTTCAGAGAGAAGGGCAGTCGACCAAGAGACAACAAACAGCTCCTCCTCTCAAAAATGCTGTGGATCTCAGTCCAGGCTCATGGTCCCATCCTGGGGGTTCCTGTGCTACCCACCCCCCTACCCCTACCCGTCCCCCCTTGGGGTCTTGCACTGAGCTCAGGGACAGAGTTGTGCGGGGAGTATTGGAAAGAGGGGGGGCAGACCTGAGGCTTCACAACAAAGGGCAGCCTGTGGCCCCCGCTTAGATCCTGGATCAAGCAGCAAACTGCAAAGGAATAGCACATGTCAGCTGGGAAAGTTTGAGGAGTGCACTTCAGGTGATGTCAGAGGACTTGTGTGATATTTTTAGGAGGGATAATGGTTTTAGAGCTGTTTTTAAAAAGTCTTTATCTTTTACAGATGCATAAAAAACATTTAGTGATGAAATAATAGGATAAACTTCCTGATAATCCTGGGTGTGGGAAGGGAAGGCGATGGTTGGGGGAGATGAAGTGACATGGACCCCGAAGCTGCTGTTTGGGTCCAGAGTTTCCTTCTGGGATGATGAGAAGTTCTAGAAATGTAATGGTTGCACAGCATTGTGAAGGGACTCAATGTCACTGAACTGTACACTAAAAGTGGCTAAAAGCTTTACAGTCTTTTATCACAATAAAAATGACTTAGTTAACAATAGTTACTATCAACTCCACTGATCTCCCCAGTCACTGTGGGAGATCGCTTCCTGAACTTGGAGTCCTAGATAGTGGGAGAAACCTGTGCACCCTGCCCTGAGTCTGGCCTGGAAGCAGAGGCTCTGTCCTGGTCCTGCAGGTGGCGGAGAGCTTGCCCAGGAGGGCCTGTGCTGGGCTGGGAACAGCTTTCGTGAACTCTGGGTGGATCAGGGGTCCCCACCAGCCCAAGAGCAGCTGGCAGCCCTTGCCTTTCATACGAGCTGGCTGTCAACCTGGTGTCACCATCAACTCACGAAAGTCATCTGCACCCCCGGAGCTGGGCCTCGCCCAGTCTGTGTTCCTGTAGAGGCTCTGTGTTTCCCTGAGCGCTCTGGACAAACACGGTTCCGCTCAGCACTGCAGCCCAGTGCTGGCAGGGCTGGGGCTGGCTCAGAGCCACCCAGAGCAAAGGGCTAGGAAGGCCAGAGAGGTCCAGGGACAATGGCTGTCTTCACGGGGGGCTCTGCATTCCCCGTGCCAGCTCAGGAGCCGTTCCATGGTCCTCCACCAAACACGTGGATACCCGGGGCCTCCGAGGCCCGAAGGAGCCTAGTGCTTCCTCCCTGGCTGCACGTCGGCTCTCCTCTGCTCTCTGTTCTCCATCACCCAGCTCTCTGTCAGTCTGCTGGGCTGCCCTAGCAAGGTGCCACGGACCAGGGCTTCAGCCACAAGACATGTTTTCCCACATTTCTGGAAAGCCCAAGGCCAGGCTGCCACACTGCATGTCCTGGCGAGGGCTCTTGTGATGTGCAGGGCGCCCTCCTCCTTGCTGTGTATGCGTGAGGAGGAGACAGCTCTGGTCTCTCTTCCTCTTCTCACACGGGCACCAACCCCCGCGAGGGTTAGAATATTTCGTCTAACACTAAGGCCCCAAGTACCATCTCATTGGGGGAAACGATCCAAAATAGGAATTTGGGGGCACATAAATTGGTCCAAACACTATCCTTTCTGGGGTCACTGTTGTCTCAAAAGCCATTTTCCATGCTTCAGTGCATCCCACATGAGACAAAAAGTCCCCGAAGGCTCCAGAGGCCCTCTGGGAGACCCGCTGTCATGATGCTGGGTAGGAGGGGCTTGGCCTGTCACAGCCATGGCATGGCAAGCTTCCTGAGCATATGATGGACCTCCAGGGCTCTCTGTGGCAAGGGAGCAGCCAGACAACGAGGGTGCACGTCCTGTGTCTAGGACTTGCTGGTCATGGTCCAGGCCTTCCTACTGTGCATGTACCTTAGCTGTCCTTCTGTAAAGATGGTGCCGCAGTGGCCCATCTACAGGCTTTTCTACAGATCTTAATCAATAACGCTACGAGGAACCCCATGCCCAGGCTGGCCTGTCGCAGGAGCTTGATGAGTGGTGGGGACTGTGACCCCTGAGATGTGGCTGGCAGCCTCCCCAGCAGTGGTCCTGGGAGGGGCTCTGTGAGTGGACTGAGGTGGAACCCACACGTGTCTCTGCTCTAACTGGTCCCAGTTGCCATCTGGTCCCCACCTGGGGGTCAGAGGCCTGCTAGGCCCACCCCTTGGCCCCTTGGTTCTGTCCTCCTGCAGCACTCAGTGCTTAGGTGGCTCCACTATGTCCTCCAGAGGCTCCTGCCAGCCCTTGCTGGACACCCCCGGCACCAGATGCCTTTCCTTCTCCAGGTTTGAGAGGACCGAGTGGGGGCATTCTGAACAGGCCCGCTGGGCACACGTTGGGACTAGGGCCTTCGTTAGGCACTTCTTAATCTCCTTGCTACTGCTTGCCTCAGTCTTTCTCAGAGGAGATGCACCTCTCAGCATCCTGTCCCTTGAGGTCTGCTGGGGCAGGACACCAGGCAGTGATGGCAGCGCGGACACACTTCCACTTAGGGGCACTTTGGATGGATGCCGGCCTCAAAATCTCCTCCCAGCTCCTCCGGGTTCCTCCTCTAAGCTGCCCACTGCAGTTGGTGGGCCTCCACCCCCTGGTCACTCTGGCTAAAGACCAGGGGTCTCCAGAGTCCTCTTTTTCCTTTTCCCACCAAACACTGCCCTCAGCTTTGTCTCCTGGATCTGTCCTGATCCCTCTGGTTCTCTCCCTGGGGACCCCTTGCCACCTTCCTACTGGCTGAGCTGGCTGGCCATGCCTCTCCCCTCCCCCACAGCTCCTGCCGGAGGCTGGGAGGCAGGAATCACCTTTTAGACCCCACCAGGGGATCCAAGCTTGGTCTGGTTGCCCGCCATTCACAGAATGTACCTTTTGTGAAGGAGAACCCCACACTCGGATCCATAGTGTGGATGGGGTCTCTCAGATGCCTCCTCTGTTAACTGGTGCTGTTCTCTGAAAACTGACAGCCGGGGCTCCTCCTATAGCTAGAGAATGGAAGCTTTCAACATGCGGTGGCAACATGTGATTCTCCTTCCTCAAGATGAGGAAGGATTAAACCTAGAAGAGGAATAACACTGTGAAATCTGGGTCAGCTACCATCCAGAGATTTAGGGGTGGAAGATTCAACTTCTTGTTGTTTGAGTAAAATATATTTTGTAAAACTTTACTTCTAAGATGGCTTAGGGGAAAAAACACGCAACCCTTGATGTCATTTCCCTGAGCTGGCAACAGCAGGGTCATACCGAGTGCCCTCCGTGATCCTGTAGGGAAGTGCGTTGAGCGGCCAGGGCAGTAAGCCTCCTCCCAGGACACTGGGATTCTCCAGATGAAGGGCACTTTCTACATCCGATGGGATTTGTGAAATTTGCTGTCCCAGTGTCAGAGTGTTTTAGCTGGTGTTGGCTTAGAGTTGATGAAGTGACATCCCATAGAGCTGAGATTAGTGTCATTGTCATAGAGCTGATGGTGTTAATCCAGGCTGCCCATGTGTGTGGGCCACAGGCAGCTCGTCCAGGTGCCAAGGATCCCAGACTAACGCCCACTCTAGGCTTGCCTGAACAAAGAGGGCCTTGCTGGGCCCTGGGGGCAGCTGGCTTAGGCGGGATGCACGGGACCCCTGGGCCACCTCCTTCCTCTCCTCATCCCCTGTGTGTTGGCCAGCTCACAGCAACCTGGCCACCAGCAGCACCAGTACTCTGTCCCTCCAGGTGACAGCTCCTTTCCCCTGGGGGAACCTTGGATGGACCCATCCAGGTCATAGGGCCATCCCCGAGGCCATCCTTATTGCCAGGGGCATGATCCGCCATCAGCCAGTCCTGAGCTACAGACTCTTCCTAAAGCTGGGGATGGGGTCAGCATCACCCACAAACCATTTGGACTTATTCCAGGGGAGAAGGGCCCCCTAGAGGATCACTGGGGCATGTGGCTAGGAGGGGACAGAATGCTGACCCGGGGGCCAGCCAGCGTCTTTGCCCATGAGTCCTCTGTCCTTGCAGTCAGCGGCCAGCTCCCTCCAAGCTGTCCTGCTGCACATGCCTCTTCTTCCCCCTCCTTCCCTCTTTTCCCTCTTTTCTCCCCCTCCTCTTCCTCGTCAGCAGCACTTTTCCAGGGCTCATGAAGACTGGGCCAGGTGCCTGGCATTGGCTGTCACTGAAGGCACTCCATATGACAGTGCTGAGGCCAGGTCATGGCGACATTATGAAGCCCTACTAGGCATTAGGCGGCTTCCGTTTGAACTGCAGCTTCCCTCTCTGACCCTCTGCGTCCTCCTCTGTGAGGTGGGCATGGGGATGTGTCTGTCACAGTGTTGTGAGTCTCAGGGAGCTTGCGTGTGTGAGCTCCATTTGTCAGATCAGGCTCCACATCACTCACCTAGATTTCACAGCACCGGGTACTAAACTGGAGCAGAGCCCAAGCTGACTTGTCCCAAGCTGTTGACTTGCTCTGACTCGCTCTCCCGTCAGCTTCTTTGCTGATGTCTCGTGGCAGGGCTCACCTCTGCAGATGGTGGTCAACATCTGGCGTCATTGCTCCAGATACTTTTCTACATACCAGATGCTGGTTTCCCAGGAAACACCTTCAGAAGGGTGACCACCTTCTGATGGGGTGAACCAGTCCACCCTGAGAAGGAGGATTGAGTCTCTGTGGAGTTGGGGGGGCAGCCTTTCTAAGAGAGAGACCCACGGGCAGAGAACCACTGGAGCTTGCCAGGCAGTGAAGGGGAAGGGCACGGAGACTACTCACCTGTGGGATCTAGGTCAAGTTCAAGGTTCCTGGGATGGAGTTTGCCTAGTGGGTTTGATTGTCCTTAAACTGCTGACTGTTGCTAATAATGCTTTGCATTTTCCTTGTTTCTAGTGTGGAATCATTTATTGGCTATTTGGTGGTGCTGTGAGGAATCTTGGAAGCCCCAGACATGTTACTCAGTGGCTGCAGCCACTCAAGGTATGGTGTGCACTTGAGCAGGGAGCTTCTTCTATGAAGAGCCTTCAATATCTATTGAAGTTAGATATGTGTGTGTGTGTGTCTTAAGAAAAAGAAAATAAAAGAACATTTGGGTCAGCAAAATTCTTGTTCCAAATGGGAATTTCAAGAGTATCTTCTTTTTTAAAAAATATATTTTTAGTTGTCAATGGACCTTTATTTTATTTATTTATATGCAATGCTGAGGATTGAACCCAGTGCCTTACACATTAAGCAAGTGCTCTGCCTCTGTGTTACCACCCCTGCCCTCTTATCTTAAATACTGTGCTGATCCTGCCATCTTGGTAAGCTCACATTAGGTGTCATCAGGCCGCACTGCAATAATGATCTCCAACTTACCTCTCCCTTTGTCACCAACATTCTGATGGACTGAGGTCTGCAGCTGAGGCTCTGACCAGCCAGTCACCTTCTCACATCTGCTGAACTGCAGGAGCAACAATACACCGGGATGTTTGCAATGACCGAGAGGGGCCACGGGAGCAACGTGAGAGGGATCCAGACGGAGGCCACCTTTGACCTTGCAGCTCAGGTGAGGAGTCTGTACTGTGTTCCATGGTTCAGGGCAGCGGGTGACCTGTACAGACCAGACTGTCCTTCTTCCTGAGCCCAGCTTCACACCCTGTGTGTGTGAAGAGACGAGTTCCGCAGAATCGTCCGATGGGGTGAACTTGGCAGGCCTGAGGACACAGGACTGAGTCTGTGGAGTTGGGGGGCCTCTGCAGGAGACAGACCTTGTACAGAGAGCTTGCCAGGTAGCAAAGGGAAAGGCCTGGAGACTCATCACACTTGGGACCCTGCTCTGTGGCTGAGGAGCGCAGATTCAGAACAAGTGTCTACGTGTTTAGGTGGAGGTGGACGCAAGCTCAGCCTCCCTGAGCCTGATACCATGCGGCACCACGCACCTTGCACGCACTCACCGGCTACCTGCTGGAACGGCTCCACAGGGACAGCCCTACAGCTGCTCTGCCCTTCCCAGCAGCATCAGGCAGAGGACGCTCAGAGCCGTGTGTGTTTGCTACTCTCTAATGCTGGAGCATTTTCAGTCCCCCCGGGGTTCCTTACCAGGAGTCGAGTTCTCCAGGATGGCATAGTGGTTCTCAGTGCCAATGAGGGCTGGGTCCAGGAACCCCTGTGGATGCCCAAATCCATGGATGCTCGAGTCCCTTAGAGAAATGGTATTGCAGAGAACCCATGCACACCTTCCCGTGTAGTTTGAGTCATCTCTAGGGTACTCATGATACCTAATACCGTGCAAACGTCGTGCAGAGTTGCTAAACTGCATTGTTTAGGGGAAAATAGTAAGAAAAATGTCCCTGGATGTTCAGAATAGACACAATTAAAAATATTTTCAAGCCATAGTTGGTAGAATCCAGGGATTTGGAGGGCCAACTGTATCAAGCAATGTTCTTACGGTCACCTGTGCTCATATTTCATGTGACCACTGGAGGCTCCACAAAACAGTCTTTCTCTACTTTTTACTGAACGTGAAGAACTCCGATATTTTCCCTTCTGCTTGTTTCTCCTCTCCCTTTCTTGTTCTTTTCTTTGTTATTCTGCCTTTCCCTTTTCTTCTTATTAGTGAAATGAGTATGTTGGTGAAGACTCTCTAAATCAATCTCTCTCCATCCTGGGTCACAGCCTGCAGTGTGAGACCCCACTTTGTAGACACCCCCCCTTTAGCAACTGCTCCCCCTGAATAAAGAAAACAACTACTTACTTATTTCACCCTCTTTTATAGTTTCTTATTTGGTACTGGGTATTCCGAAGGACTACTTGAAGGGAGCAGTACATCTTGAAATTCTTTCTACAAGTGAGACTTTGTAAACCTGCGTGTGTAGGCCTGTTGTGAGCACAGTGTGGGCGTGGCACAGGTGTCCATCTCTCAGCCTGTTCTTTTTTTCCCTAAGCATGTCTTTCTGAACCTGGACTTTTGTCTACAGAGTTTTCTAGACCACAAATGCTACTTGGTTCTTCTCTTTTGTTTTGGTTGGGTGCTGGGGATTGAACCCAGGGTTGCTTTACGGCTGAGTCACATCCATAGCCCATTTACTTCTTATTTAGAGACAGGGTCTCACTAAGTTGCTTAGGGTATTACTAAGTTGCTGAGGTTGGCCATGAACTTGTGATCCTCCTGCCTCAGCCTCCCAAGCCCTTGAGATGACAGGTGTGCACCACAGTGCCTGACCCACAAGTGCTGCTTGGAAGTGGCCACCATGTAGGATGACATCCAGGCGACAGCTGTATGGAGGGTGCTCTGCTTTCCCTCCCCCTGATGTTCATTCTCTGCAGTAGCCGGTGATGGGAAGAGCAGAAGTGAGCGCTGCTGTTCACAGAGCACCCGGCTGTGCGGTGCTGTGTCCAGCTGCCTCCGCGGGGTGCTCTGTGTTCCATCCAGCACCCACCCCCAATCATGACATTCAGAGGCTCCTGTCCATGGAGCATGCATGTGCTAAGGTGACACTAAGCACTCTGTGTCTCATTGTGTCGAATGTCCTCAATCATATAGAAAGGTAGTGTTGTCCCTGTCTCACATATGGGGAAACTGAGGCTCAGGGAGCTTCAGGAACTGACTAGGGTCATGCAGTTAACGAGAGAGTCTCAGATTCTGGCCGGTCTGCGTTTCACAGTGTGGCTTCTGCTGGTGACTGCTCACTGACCTATATCTTTTGGGTTTTGGCCAATTTCTTCCTTCCCCAAGCAACAGTATCCAGGTCACCTTGCTGTCATTAATGGGGGAGGAAAACCACCCATAATTGTTATTTATTTGTTTCTCTTTACAATTATTTTTTCCAAAAAAAAAAAATTTCCTGCATTGAACCCATTTTCCCAACGCAGCATAAATGACCTTGCTACCTGGTGACTTCAGCAGCTGCCGCTTTGTGACAGGGGAGTTGTGGAGTCGCAGTTATGATGTGGAGATTCTGGTGTGCGCTCATCTCCATGGGATGAGAACAGCCCGTCTCAGACACACACCACTGGCAGCTGGTGTGGCGGAGGGTGGCTTTGCCCTTCGTTGGGTCTCGTTCCTCCTTCGTTTCTCTTCTGAAATGCCAGGCCATGCCAGGAGCCTCCCTCCCTCCAGGACCGGGGAAGCTCTCACGTTCTGGTGACTCACTCTTATGAATTGGTTCTTCTGTTTGTTTATTTAGTTTTTGGGGGGGTGTGTGGATGGGCTAGTGGTATGGACAGTTAAGAGGTAAGAGAGAATTTTATTTTTATACTCTGTGTTCACTGGCAAAAATAAATGAGGTTATGAGCTCTCGGCCCAAAGCAGTTATTTATTTTTTATTTTTTATATTTTTAGTGCTTGGCCATTTTGCTGGCCTTCAACAAATAGTTACACTAGCAACCAGCACACATGGTGTGTGTTATTTAGATCCAGTTTTAACGCCAGCATTTTGGCTGATGTAAATTTTCCACATCAAGCATCTTGCCAGAAGTGACAAACCTCCTTCCTGGGGTGTGCCAGATGTTTATGGGGACGGTGGCCTCCTGCCCTCTTCCCTGTCCCACCAGACCTTCTCTGCCAGGCCAGGGTTTCCTCTGCTCCTTCCCTTACTCCCCCATGGGCAGGCACCCCCACCACACAGGTTGCTTTGCCGTTCTTCCCACTGCCCCTGGCCTAGAGCCTCTTCTTTGTGAGGACTCCTGGCTGGCCAGATAAGACAAGGGCAGCCTCCGGAGACTTTTCTTGAAAAGACTCAGCTTGTCCATTTGTGTTTCTGAAAAGCCCTTGCACATGTTAGAAGTTTCCCTGTACAAACCGATGTCAGAGAGTGTTTTCTTAGGCCTCAAGACTGTGTTTCTTGGCCTGAGGCAAAGTGCAGTCTATATACTTAATAATCTGAAATCTGAGATCATCTCTGCGTGATCAATAGCTCGTCAGTTTAGTTCAGCCCTCTTCAGTATTGTCAGCTCCAATTAAATGTGCAGTTTCCCCCTCTGTCACTTCCCCTGGGCTCCCTGACCCATCCAGGCACCCTGTGCCCAAAGCTGACAGTGTGGCCCTCTCCTTGGCAAGAGATTGGAGGGTGATCCATGTGGCGAGCAAGGCTGGGGAAGGCCAAGGGCGAAGGGCGGCATTTCCACGGGGATCCCTGTTCAGGCTTCCAGAGAGTCAGAGAAAGAAGACTGAGTTCTGAGCAGAAGTTGAAAACAAACACCTGCATTTCTTCCCTGCCTCGACCCAGTGACACTGGTGCTGGAATCGTGGGCAGGTCATGGCGGCAGACTGTGTGGCGCGTTTTAAGATCCTTTTCCTCATGACATGGAGAGAGACCCGTTGACGGGCACTTCTGTTTTAAGGTCTTGGGTGTGAGAAGCTTTTGGGCAACATTTGCTTATGATATTCATTGGCTGGAAAAACGCAGAGCAGGTTCTGGACCCATCTATCCAAAGGTTTTAATGATTCTTTTCTCATAGAAATTAAAATTGTTCAGGCTGCTATTCTAAGCAATGGAGGGACTAGGTCAAGGTTGTCTGTGTATCTGGTCTGCACCCAGGCACAATGTTGGCCTCCAGTTAGCTGGTTGGGTGCTGTTCAAACAAAGGCCCATGCCAGGGATGCAGAGACAGCCCAGGCCTGTGAACAGTAGAGGGCAGAGAACCAAGAGCCTTGCCCAGAAGGGATAGGACAAGATGAAGCCCACAGATGTGGGGCCCCTGATCATTGGATGATTCCTTCTTTCATCAGGACCTCCCAGGTGGGGTGTTGAATTATTTTACTCAAAAGCTAAAACCTCAGTAGGAATTAGTCTAGAGAGAGATGCTGATCATTAGGAAGGACTCGATACGTTAAAACCAGGCAGACTCGGCTTGATTGCAACAGAAAGAGAGATCAGGAAGGGTGAGGGATGAAACCTAGGCACTTGCTCTGCTGGGGGGGTTATGCCCTGAAAACTCACTTTGATGAGTCTGAGCACTGGCATGGCTGGTGGCCTTGGCTTTGCCAGGTGGAGCCAGCTGCCTTGGTCTGTGAAGTGTCCGAGTGGGTCTGTTGTCACAGTGTTCTCTGCACTGAGCCCAGGAGCTGAAACGAGCCATATGGAGGGAACACTCCGTGGCTCCCTCTCTCTCTGCAGGAGTTTGTAATCAACACACCGTGTGAAAACGCCCAGAAGATGTACATCGGGAACGCCATGGGCGGGAACTACGCAGCCGTCTTTGCCCAGCTCATCATCAATGGAAGTTCACAAGGTTTGTCACTGACATGGGAGCCAGAGGATTTGCTGTACTGTCTCTCTTTCCCAGCGAGTACTTTACATGGAACACCACTTTGCAGGGCTGTTTCTATCTTCAGTACCAACATCATCTCCTGAGTGGAAATGATGATGAATTTATCCTTATGTTCTGACGTTATTCCCTATTGCGTGTAGTGCACAGTGCAAAACTGAAGGAATTCTGGGATCAAAAGAATTTCACCCCATCCCAGGAAGTGCGTCAAACTCTACTCACATCTTTTGGGAGTTTCCTAAGGGTCTCTGTTGCCTCCCTCAGGGCCCCACTGTTTCATCGTTCCCATCCGGGATGAGAATGGAGGCTTGTACCCGGGAGTGACAGCTATTGATATGATGCACAAGGAAGGTGAGTCCCAGAGAAGGCAGACCAAACCAGCCTCATCCCTCCCAGCTTCTTGAATTTCCTAGTAGCAAGGCAGCTACTGGACACTGTCCATCTTCTCTGTCCCTTTTAGACTTGGGCACTCGGAGGGCAGGCTCTGTGCTCTCTCTCTCTCGCCCCTTAGCCCACTGTAGTGTTTATGCCCACAGGCCCTTGATGATGCCTGAGTCTGGCACAGAGCATTAGTCTGCTAAGAAAGGAGTATGAGAGTGAAAGAAAACAAGAGAAGAGAGTGGGGAGAGAGGAGGGAGAAGGTCATCCCTGGGGGAAGGATAGAGTTTCATCTCCAAGGGAGCAAAACTAACCATTGCTGCAGAGGCAGGGCTGGGCTGAAGGTGGGTTTGCTGGGGACCGGGCCCTGGCTGGCCCTGGCCCCTGGAAAGGACCTCGTGCATTATGTGTTGCTGAGAGCAGAGAGTGGGCCGAGCTCTTACAAGGTCTCTCCAGACGTTGAAAACACTGGCAACTGCGGAAGGTCGGCCTGGTTTCCTTGTAAGCTCCAAAATAATACCGTGTCCTTGTCAAGGGGTGAGGTTCAAATAAAATCTTTTATGAAAGAAGGCATTTTGGCCTCCAGATTAAATCTCCCTAAGATTTTTTTTTGAGCAACACATAGACCCAAGCATCTGACCACAGGTGCCATTAGGAAGTAGGTCTGGCAGACTTTAGGATACTGCCCCCCTCCTGTGTCCTTGTGGCCATTTTCCTTGTCTTGTGGCATTTGCTTTCATCAGTTCCCCCTGCACGCTGAAGATGAGGCCCTAGAGGGAGGAACCCTGTGGTTCTGCTCTCCTGGGAGAGCAAGCTGGCCCGTCATCTTGCCTTCCTGTCCTTTCCTTGCCTAGAACTCTCCCTTTGAGAACCACTGTTACTTCTGGAAGAAGAATGGTGGGGACCTGCCTGCAGCCTGAGCCTCGGAGCTGGCAGGCTGCGCAGAAGGAAAGGCACACTCACTGTCCTCTGTACTTGTGGGGGAGTGGGCTGGGTGGGCTCAGGAGACAGACAGACAGAACACATCGTCACCCCTCAGCCCCAACCCAGAGCATCAACAGTTCTAGAGCAAAGGCTTGGGAAAGGGCAGGGCCAACATGGCTGATGCCTGGATTCCCTGCAGCTGCGTTCATTTCTGTTCTCCAGGTCTGCACGGTGTGGATAACGGGATCTTAATCTTCAACAAGGTTCGGGTACCCAGGGAGAACCTGCTGGATAAGTGAGTGGTTTTCTTCTCAGCAACTCTGCAGATGATCTTGCTCTTCTCCCAAGCGAGGCCTGTCTTGCCCCAGCCTCCCTGACAAGCTATCGATAACTCACTGGAAAAGGCAAAGAAATGAATAGAAATAAATTAAAATGATCCAACTTGCTGTTGCCCAGATACAATGATTGTCGCACTCCAGTGTGTCTCTCTGGACTTTCTAACATGTCAGCAGATCTAGAGAGATATGTCAGATTTTACCAAATGAAATTTTTACCAAATGAGGATGCTATCTTTTTTTAAGACTTATAATTTCCATTTAACATTATTTTACAAATATTTTAATGTAACAATAAACACACTTAGGCATTATCATTTTTAACAACACCATGCAGTCTGTTAAATAAATGGTCTGTAAGTTTTGTCATCGAATCCCTTACTGTTGGGCACTTAGATTGTTCCATTCCCCACTTCGTACACTGATTGGTGCTGTCCCATCCTTTGGGGTTGTGAGTGTTCAGGCATTGTCCTTCAGCTTGGGAGGCTATTAAGACCACTGCTTCCTGGAGGGATGAGTTCAAGGTGCTCACTTCCCAGTACCTCACAGTGAGGTGAAGGTGAATTCAACAGTGAGCTGAAGGCTGCTTTCTCAGGTGCATTCTAGGGATGAAGGTTCAAGGGTTGGTTAATGATGCTTCCCCCACCCCCAGAGGCTAGAAGCACCAATTACTTTTAACTTTCTCAGCAGCATTTTCTTATCCTATGAAAGTCCTGAGCCACCATCATATTTGGGTCTCTGACAAAGCCAACAGTCGGTGTGTGGATAAGCAGCTGTCTCCCTGGCTGCCTGTGGATTTTCCTTGAACACTTTACTCCTTTTTGCTGCCTGCTAGTTCTTGTCAGCAGATAAATATGGTAGTAAATGCCAAAAGTTTAAGAAAATTGTGTGGGAAACAAACTTAGAAGAACCAAATTTTGTTTGCTCTCTTCCATGAACTGGGAGGAAATAGAATGGAGACAACTAAAGAATTGTTGCAGTTATACTGGTGGATACCAAAGACCCCCAGATCCTCTCAGGGGCCACCAGTGCCCATGAAAGCAGGTCTAAGGACCACCAGCATCCCCTGGAGGTGTCTGTACGTCTCCAGGCACCTGTCAGCACCACCCCACTTCGGAGGATGGGGAGGAGGGAAGATCCCTGTGTCCCACCACTCTGATGAGATCTTGGTGGCTTGGCCCATCCTCCAGAGGCCGGGCAGTGCTGAGCATTCACCCAGTGCATTAGAGATCAGAAAGGCTAACTTCACAAGAAAGAAAAATGATCATGAGCTACAGTATTTGTAGAAGATATGAGGATTTATAGTCTTTCTTTGATAAGCAATATTTGAATTTAATATAATTTTATAGATATTTAAAATGCCCCTAAATGCTATAAGACAGCATGTGGCAAGAGTTTGAGTTTTGAGAAGGAGCCCCACATTTGGGATCTTGGTTTATCACTTGATAAAAAGTGGGCCAGTAAATAGATGTATGGAATCAGTACAATCCCTATCAAAATCCCAGATTTGTTTTGCAGGAATTGAAAAATTGATTCTAAAATTTATAAGAAAATATAAGAAGTCCAGAATAGTCAAAACAATCTTTATCAGTCAAAAATAGGAGGACTCACTTATGATGGGAAAAATAGTACAGTGCCATTGTAATCAAGACTGGTATTTTGAGCAATGGAAGAAAGAGTCTTAAAATATGTCCTCACATTTATGGCCAATTAATATTCATGTAGGGTGCCAAAACAATTTAATGAGGAAAGAAAAGTCTTCAGCAACTGATACTGGTACAACTGGATACCAGATGCAAAAGCATGAGTTGGAGCCCTACCTCACACCATATCCAGAAGTTGACTCAAAATGGTCACACACCTAAATGTAAGAGTTAAAACTACACAACTCTTAAAAGAGATCAGAGGTGTGAATTTTTATGATCTTGGTTCAGGGGAATGACACTGGAAGGATAGCTCACCAAAAAATAAATAAATAAATTTGTTAAAAATTAAATTAGACTTCATCAAAATTTTTTAAAAAAGACTCTTGTATATCAAAGTGCACTATGAAGAAAGCAGAAAACAATCTAGAGAACAGGGGAGAATATTTGTAAAATATTTCATTAGGACATAGTATACAGAATATAAAAATAACTATTATAATTAAATAATAGAATGAAAAATAAACCAATTAAAAAGCATGCAAACATCTGAAAAGACATTTCTCCAAAAAAATGCGTATAAAGTACTAATAATGGAAAAATGCTCAACACCATTGTCATCACAATGTGAATCAAAATCATGATGAAGTACCATCCACAGCACTAGGATGGCTATGGTAAAAGAGACAAATGACACTAAGTGTTGGTGAGGATGCGGGGAAGCAAAACCATCATGCCTGACTGGCAGTGATGTAATGTGTTGTCACAGGTTTGGAAAAATCATTTGGCAGCTCCTCAGTAGTTTCAAAGTTATCAGATGACCCAGCAGTTCTATCCCTACATATATATAAAAACATTGTTAGCATGATACTAAAAAATAGATGTGTACACAAACATTCATAACATCATTATTCATAATAGCCCCATAGTGGAAACAACCCAAATATCCATCAATTTCTGAATGGATAAACCAAATCTGATAAATGCTTACAATGAAATATTATTCAGCCATAAAAATCAACGAAGTATTGATACATGCTACAACATAGATGAACCTTGAAAACATGCTAAGAAGCCAGACACAAAGACCGCATGTTATATGAGTCTGTTTATGTGAAATCTTGAGAATAAGCAACTCCAGAGAGATATAAAGTCGATTAAGGGATACCAGGAACTGAAAGGTGGAGAGTTTGGGGACTGATTGCTATTGGTATGATGTTCCTTTTCTGGGGATAAAATGTTTTGGAACTGGATGGTAGTGCTGGTTGTACAGCATTGTGAATACTCTGAGTTGAACACTTTAAAGGAATTAATTTTATGGGGTGTGAATTATATCTCATAAAAAAGTGGGCCAGTTTGTACACTCAGTCTCTGGTATGGTTAAATGATGGTGGTACCATGCCTCTTTTTCTCAGGGGCTATTGCTGGGCTGCAGGTTGGTGGTGGCTGAAAACCTGCCCTTGTCTCCATGGTCAGCCTTTCTTAGACTCTCCTGAGAGTCCCTCAGAGGTGGGGATTCACACAGATGGACTCATATAATATGGGGTCTTTGTGTCTGGCTTTTTTCAAGCTTCACCTATATTGTAGCGCGGGTCAGTGCTCAATTTCTTTTTATGACCCAAAATATTTAGTGGTATGTATACACCATATTTTGCTTGCCCTTTCAGCAGCTGATGGACACTTGGGTTGTTTCCACTTTGGGGCTATTATGCATGATTGACCTATGAGTCCAGCCTTTCACCAACCTCCTGAGAAGGCCCGCCCCCCCACCCCTAGCTTACTCTGCTCTTGTTCTCATGAGGGAGGTCCTCATGCAAATCGGTGCACTTCCTGGGCATAAGGGAGCCACCCAACTTCACCTCTAGAGCTGCCAGGCCTTCTTCTTTTGTTAACCCACCTTTCTTGTCAATTCTGCTCTCCTTCTTCCCACAGGTTTGGTTCCGTGGCCCCAGATGGGCAATACCACTCACCTATTAAGAACAAGAGTGCGAGATTCAATGCAATGTTGGCCGCGCTGACCCCTTCGAGATTAGCAGTGACTTTCCAAGCTCTGAGCGCCATGAAGGTAGTTGATTCTTTTTAATTGACCTCACTGTTCATTCTCTGCTTATTCTGGGGATGCCTAACGGTGTCAGGAGCTGAGCTTCCTGAGCCCCAGGGGTGTTATGTAGCCGGGATGACTGGTCACACTCTAGAGGGAGTCAGTTGGCCACACAGGTCACGTTTTGGTGTCCTTCTAGAGACATTATCCCATCCATCCTGAGCTGCTAATCATGGTGGATGGAGCCTGGGCAGTGTGGCCACAGAGCCACAGAAGCTGACCCAAGGAGACTGGGTTGTTCAGGACGAACACACCTGTTTCAGTTTCCTGCAGGCGAAGGTCAGGGTGTCTTAGCTGAGTTCATGGGGCGTGTGGATCTCAGGTGCTCTTGGGGACATTCCCTGTCACGTGTCGGAGTCCATGAGGCCAGATCTCCAGAAACCATCTCTGCCTCTCCTCCCCTCTCTTCCTGTGTCTTGGTTTGGAGAAAGCAGCAGGAGAGAAAAATTCTGGAAGGTTCTTTCTCTCCTCCACATGGGCCTACACTTCTGTGTTCTCCAGGCCCTTCCATCTTCAAGTGAGGGAAAGCCCGCTATGACCTCCCCTGAGCCTAGTGAAGCTGCAAGGAAGATAAGATTCTGCAGGAATATGCCTTTGTGTCTTAAATCCAGCTTTCCCTCAAGAGGAGTGACATTCCTGTGATTCCAGGCCTGACTTCAGTCACAGATGTCTGAACAGCAGACAGTCTCTCTTGATTCGCTTCTCCTTCGCCTGCCCCGCCCCAGCTTCCCGAGCAGTGCTCCTCCTGCCATTGAATGGTGGAAGCGCACATGCTAGGACTACCCGGTGCCCTCCTGTGGCCCCCTCCTATGGCGCCCTCCCGTGGCGCCCATTCCTGTGCTTGTTTTGCAGTGGCTCTTGCAGTGGGCTCAGCTGGGTGTTCTAAAGTCCCCTGTCAGGAACCATCGGACAAACGAGGCCCCGGGAAAGCCTCTTGAGGAGGCGTCCAAGAGCGGAGGGAAACTGGTTCTTCAGGTCTGTAATGGAAACGCTTTTAGCCATGCTCAGGACCCAGAAAGAGGGAAGGAGAGAAGGCAGAGGAGCCCAGGGTGGCATCAAAGAGGAGACAGAGGAAGAGCCTGACCCAGGCTTTCTGAAGCCATGACGCAGCGTCTGCACGCTGTCCCCTCTAGCCCCAGCACCCCTCAGAGCACACCCTGAGCATCCTGAGGAGAGTACGGACACAGGACAGATGCATGCTGGTGGTGGCCGCAGAGGCTGCTGGGAGACCCTGTGCCCGACAGGTGTGGAGTAGGTGATGGTGTGAGGGTGCTCCTGCTGCCAGAAGCCTGGTGGTTCCCTGAGCTCCGTGTGGGGTCACGTGGGCTATGGTGTGGGCAGTGAGGGCAAGGCAGGGGCGACCTTCCAGGAGAGTCTTGGTTCTCAATGTCACCAGATCTGGCACGGTGTGAGGGGGTAGCTCTGGGAGAGGAGACCAAGGCGTGATTCTTTGTTTTATTTTTGTGGTCCTAGGGATTGAACCCAGGGGTGCTCTATTGCTGAGTTACATCCCCAGTCCTTTTTAATTTTTTTAAATATTTATTTTTTAGTTATAGGTGGACACAGTATCTTTATTTTATTCTTATGTGGTGCTGAGGACCAAACCCAGGGCCTCACACATGCTAGGTGAGCACTGTACCTCTGAGCCCCAGCCCCAGCCCCTTTTTAAATTTTTATTTTAAGACAAAGTCTTGCTAAGTTGCCCAGGCTGGCCTGGAACTTTCCATCCTTCTGCCTCAGCCTCAAGTCATTGAGATCACAGGCAGGTGAGGTTCTTGTTCTCTATTCCTCTGGACATTATCAGGGGTCAGCACCTGTCCACCCCGAGAGCCATGTGCAGACTGATTCCTCGTTGGGTATGTGATGTGCTTGCTTTGTTCCTGGCAATGGATGGTCATGATCACGATCGTAGGCTCTGAAATCAGAGATCCCTGGGCTCCAGCCTCATCCTGTGTGTGACCAGCAGGGGGGCTGTGGGCAGGTTAGTGGTCCTCTCTGAGTCTCACTGTCCTTGTCTTCAGGTGGGCCTTGGGAGGATGGTGAGGCAGGACAAAGGGATGCATACACATGCTCCACAGCTCGGAGCTGACGGAGACACGTTGGTTGTTGTTGCTCCTGCTGCTGCTGTTGGGAAGGTAGGCGTTGGCAATGGGAAAGGAATAAATGGCTTTCCCATGAAACACATGCCTTCAATCCTGGCCTCCAAGGAAGGCATTCTGAAATGTTTTGCAAAGATGCCCAGAAAGAGGGAAGGAGAGAAGAATCCCTTTGATTCCTGGGTATCTAAAGCAGAACATGGTAACTCAGAATTGGCACCTTCTCTGCCCATATCGACCTTTCCACACAAAGGAATTGCTTAGTGTATTAGTCAACTTTCTGTTACAGTAACAAAATACCCAAGATAATCAACTTATGAAGAAAAAAAGTTTATTCTGGCTTACAGTTTCAGAGCTTTCGGTTCATGGTCAGTTGGCCTATTGCTTTTGGACCTGTGGAAAGACAGCACATCGTGGGTGGAGCATGAGTCAGAGGAGACTGATCAACTCTTGTCAGCCGGGGTGCAAAGAGAGAGACAGGAAGGGGAAGGGGTCCCAATATCCCTGTCAAGAACATGCCAGCAATGGCTTAACTTCCTTCTACTAGGCCCCACCCACCAGAAGTGTCACAGGCTGGTGACCACGCCTTTGATATGAGGGCCTTTGTAGGCTGTTCAAGATCCAGACCACAGCCCTGGGGTGAGGGGGAACCTGCACGGAGCCTGGCAGGGATCAGACCCCGTGTGTTCCAGGCCCTGCCATGTCGTCTGGCTGGACAGCAGCCCTGGCGGCTGTGATGTCACCATGCGAGTCTCCATTGAGGATGGGCTCAGAGGCCTCCTTGGCAGCTCCTCCTCCTGCGGCTCAAACAGGTCCCAGATGTTTTCCCAGCTGAAACCTAAGATGGTCCTGCTCGGTCTGCTCTTGCTAATGAGTGGAAAAACAGATCTCTCTGTCCTACATTCATTCTTGATGTATTAGAAAACTGTCACCGTGGCTCTCCACAGTGACATTCGCTCAAGGTCAAGCATGCCCTGCCTTTCAGGCCTTGCCCAGATGTCTTCTGTTCCATGATTGTGCGGCAGGCCTCCGTCCTCTTGGATTTTTCCCTCAAAGGCTAACTGTAATCCCCGTCCTCTGATTTGTGTCCAAAATGCCAGGCCAGATTAAATGATTAGTGAGGCCAGGGAAATGGAGATGATTGTCGGGAGGGAGGGGCTGGGGGGGAGGGAGCTGGTGCTCGGTGAGTGGGCAGGGTGGGGAGAAGGGGCAGTGGGAAGTGGAACCCAGGTCTGTCCTTTTGGATTGGTTCTGCATGGAGACAGTACTTTAGCTCATCTTGAGCTGGTCCCCACTTGTAAAGGAGTTTCCCTAAGGGATGCCCTTGGGAGCTGGGTCCCATCCTGGGAGTATCTGACTTGGCAGCTCCTGGGTGGGGCTGGAGAATCTGCATTTCTAGCAGGTTCCCAGGTGCCACTGAAGCTGTGGGAGGAGTCCTGCCTACCCCTCCCTGGGAAAGGCCTCCCAGACGCCCCCCCCCCCTGTGGAGTCCTCCCGAGCCCCTCCCCTCCCCAGCAATCATCCTGGTTTCCTTGGACTCGTGTTCTCACCGGGAACCCTGCACACAACAAATGGGTGCAGTCCTAAATGTCTGGCACCATCCCAGCCACCTCGTCCCTAGGATCAAGGGCCAAGCTCTCGCCCATCAGCCCCCTCTCCCCACTGACCTTACCTCCTGCTGTTCCCTGCTTCCTCACCACAGGTGGGCATGGCATGCTTCTCATTTTCAAATACATTTCAGAGGTCCTGCTGTGTCTTCTTAAAGGTCACAGCCTGCATGTGGTCCCTTTGTCACCTGTGCCCAAGGCATCACAAACCTCTTGCAACGTTTACTTCAGTTACACAACCAGCTGGTGTTTGTTAAAGTCACCTGGAGGATTAGGGCATCCACATGAATTGGGGCGGGGCATGTCACTGTGCAGTCCATAACACTTGGCCACCCTCATGTGACTGTATTTGGAGACTGTGTGTATAGAGAGGTAACTAAGATGAAATGAGGCCATAGGGGTAGGGTCCTGATTTGATAAGACTTGCATGGTGTCTGTGAAGAGGAGACACCAGAGATCTCAGTCCCCATGCACCCAGAGGAAAGGCCACAGGAGGACAAAGTGAGAAGGTGGCCCTCTATACGCCTGGAAGAGAGACCTCGTCAGAAACTAACCTGCTGGCACCTTGACTTTGGGTTTCTAACCTCCAGAACTGTGAGAAAATGAATTTCTGCGGTTTGAACACTTGGTCTGGATGGCAGCTGGAGCAGAATGACATACTGCAAAAAGTCCCGAACCACCAGTATAAGCCAGGTTAGGAAAGACTCCCAGGGGGCGTTCAAGACAGCAGCCAGTGGAGCTGGGGTCCTCTTTCTCGCCTCATTCCAGAGTCCAGGGCTGAGCCAGGCAGAGGAGTGCCCAGTAAAGCTGTCAGCTGAGTCCAGTGGAGTGGAGCTGGCCTGCATGGAAATAGTTGGCAAGTCCTACCCGCTCCAGACGCCATCGTGAGGCCTCCCTGGGCTTGCACCTGCCTCTGTGAGACCTCCAAGAGCATCTCCACTTCTCTGGAAATAGAGCTGCTGTTAGACTGAAGGGACATCATGTGAAGGGTTTGCAGGGGAGTCTGCGGGCACCAAGCCCTTGACGCCTGCCCTGCTGGGATCACAAGGCCTGCAGAAGCCTACCTACTCAAGCTCAGGCAGACCGCTGGCTAAAATCACCTCCTCCGAGGTTCTGAGGGTGACAAATAGAATTTGTAACTCAGGCTCACCCTTTGGCGGAAGCTGCCGAGAGCTGAGGTAAATTATGAGGCTGAGCAGGGTGCGAGGCAGCAGCCGTGGGTGAGCAGTGCTGGCCCTGAGTGGGGGCTGGGGACCAAAGG